TTAGAAATGCTCAAAAATAAATAAAATTAGTCAATATACTTTCCTTTTGAAATTAAAATCTTGTTCTAATTATACTTTCTCTTATTATGATAATAGAAATGTAATATATTTATCCCCTACTTTCATACTCTTACTTACTTTTTCTTTTTTGTAAGTCTTAGTAACTGTTGTCATGGTTTTACAATTCCTACTGACTTCACAACCAATTTCTTCTGTCCTCTTACTACTATCTATTTAAAGTGGCACCAAAAATATGTATAAAATATTTTTTGAAAAATTATCTTTTATGTGTTACATTACAATCCCCATAAGGGAAAACAGGAAAATATGATTCTTTTAGAATTTTAAATTTTCTCAAAATACATTCATTAAAATGTTTACAGGCATATAGTGGACTTTTTTCTGAACATCTAATATGGAATTTATGTAAATTTATCCTTAATCTTAAATTATCTTTTTCACCAATATATAATTCATCACAATTTGCATATTCTAAAAGATATACTACATTCTTAGAACTACAATTAAATGACTTATTAATAAAAAAAACAATTTCTTTGTTATTGTTCTTTATTGTTTTGGTAGATTTCATATAACCTAAGTTACATAAAGCAAAGTTCCTTCTGTCACAACTGAAGATACCTTCTTTAGAATATTTTTTTCATGTTTATTCAATAGTCTATACAAATTTTAGGTTACTTTGATAAAATTTTATTATTTTTTAATACATCTGTCAGTTTTATCTATTTGTTTTAATTATGTATTAACAAATGAAATATCAATGTGTATATTTGGGCAGTGAGTCACAACAAAAGGTATAATATTCAGTTTAAGTTTACTAAACTCTCTATTTAAATGTTTTTTATGAAAAAATTATTCTGAGCAATTTCAAAACCTCTTAATATAACTTTCTCCAGATAGTGACACCAAATTAAAAATTTTATTAGTTCTAATAATCTTACTTCTCATTTCTTCATTAGAATCCAAATAATAATATAACCTACTTAGAAGATTTGCAGTAACATTTAATTTTGTGTTTTGGATGATTACAGAAAAATCTATATATTGATGAGAGTTTGTGGGTTTATAAAAAATATCAGTTACAATTTCCTTTTCTGAGGAAACACCAACACATCTAAAAAGGACAAGCTTTTATTACTTCTTTTGAAGGTAAACTTAACTTTCTTGTTTATTGAGTTTAAAATTCCAACAGATTTATTAATATCTTGAGCATTTTTCCATATTACAAAACAATTGTCAAAAAAATCTTTTCCAAAACGTTTTTATGTGAGCTACAAAATTATCTTCAAAATAGTTAACTAGTATATTAAATAATTGTAAATTGAAAAATCCCATAGTAATGTTAGCATAAGTTGGAACAACTTTTTTGCCCATTACTGTACCAGATATATGGTGAAAGATTTGCTTCTCATAAGTACAAAAATTATTTTTAAAACTATATATAAACCTTTTAAGATAGAACCTTTATTAAGCCTTGGATGAATCAATTCTTTATATTTATCTAGAAAGCTTTCCACAGCTTTTAAATCTTTAGTCATCTACAACACCTGGATACAGAGCTACCACATCTAAAGAAACAAAACTCTGATTTTCTTGGCAATTTTTCAACAAATTCAAAATCATCCCTAATAAGACTAGGAATATGAGATATAAAAGGTTTTAACAATATGTCTAAAAGGCCACTCGAATATTCAGTAATTTTTTTGATTACCTCCTACTATTGGTCTTCCTGGAATATTGGGAGGTTTTCCAATATGAATATATTCACTTTTTTGTTTCCAACGGTAATTTTTTTTTGTTAATATCACCTTAAATTCATCAACAAATTTCTTTCATTTTTCTTTTATTAAAGTTATGCATTTCAATTTATTTATACTTCCCACTTTTTGGTAAACCTTTGTATCGTTTAAATGTTCATAAACCATCTGATTATAAAATTTTTGGGCAATTATTACCCATATTTTATCTTTATCTGCTTTTTGAAATATCAAGTTAGAATTTTTAAGGTTCTTTAGCAACTTTGACTCTTAATGTTAAATTATCCTTCTCTTGTTTTTCAGTAACAGAATATAATTCATATTTTTTACAAATTAACTGTAATTCAGTGTTTATTCATTGAACAGGATCAAATCTCATTTACCATTTACTAAGGATTCATCTTTTATTTGAAACTTCATAAAAATATTCTTTAACTCTTAATTTTCTATTGAACATGTATACATCCCCTGCTAGTTGTATTTTATTAGGTTTATTTGTGGGAGTAAATGTTAATTCTTTTACTAATAATCGTATTTCATTTTCTTGGAAATTAGTTTATGTTAAATTAACAATTTTCAAAAAATTCTGATCCTGTTTATCTAAAAGATTTTGAAACTCTGTCATATTTTCAAAAAGTTACAGGTCTTCCATGTCTTACATCCTATTAAAATTTCTTTCTCCTTGTATTTTTTGTTGATTTCAAACATATCCTATATCAACACCTCTAGGATTCCATATTGTTTTTTTAATGGTATCTGTCATTTCTTCTCCATTTTCTTGTATTGCAGTATATATTTTCTCCTTTTATATCATCAACATCTTGCCAATCTTCATCTTTGATACTTGAATACATTGTAAAGCCATTATGTGTTGGTTAGGAGTAACTTAAGACAATGTAATAATAGTGTGTCTAATTTTAAGAATGAAAATCTAAATGCCAGCAAATGTTGGTCTAGCACTTAAACATGAAAAAATATACACAAATAAAACGTACACATAATTGAGGTTAATAATTAAGAAAGAAATGGATGTTTTGATCAGATACCATGAAGATAAATCTTAAAAGTAGATTGTTAATCAGACAGTAGTACATATTTAAGGCATCAGTATAGAAAAAACTTATTGATTTAGACAACAACAAAAATGGATATAGGGTGTAAACCAGGATATTTTATTATATATGTATAATATTTTCTAAAAAAAATTACCAACTCTTTTAAACAAAATATTTAATTACATAGTTCCATGGACTTCCATCTTCATATTTATTCCTATTATAATATACATGTTTTATTGTGTGCAGTAGAGGAGGGAAGTGATCTTGACACATTAATTATTGTTGACATAATGAGCCATCAAGTTAGAAATGTAATAAATAGAATTATTAGGATACTTGTTATCATAGGAAATAGTAACACTAAAATTTCTGTTTTACTTTGTTACTTATGTATATTTTGGTTTTTCTACTTCTCTTGTTTTTCAAAATTATGGTAGTTGTTGACCAGTCTGAAATACTTGTCATTTAAATCAAATCCTTTATGCATTTATGGAAAATGAAATTGTTTATTTTGAAATGGCAAGGTATGAATACTTCTTGTAGACTTATTTTTCGAAATTATAAAAATATCTGTATAACTAAGATGTGCTAGGTCTATTCTCTGATTCACTATGTCAATTAGAATAGTTTTGGAGAATTTCATCTCTAATCAGTAACTCTAGCTATGAGCAAGTCAAATAAAGACTCATGACCTTTGTGGTAGTAGGGTGCAGTAATTGTGGACAGAGTGTGATTGAAATATTGTTATACACATTTTCTGGGAAATACTATAAAGAATATAGTGTTATAAACATACAAGCCTATTACTATTGCATATAGGTGTATGTAGTTTTAACTGTAGAATGTAGGACAAGAAAGCAGATGTGTTTTTGTCCAAGTTATCTAATCACTGGGTCATCCATTTAGGGTATCACATGCACTTTTTCTTGTGAAATTTATGTAAAGCTGAACATGCTATCCAGAAGTGGACAGCAATCTTTTCTACTGGCAGGTTAGGTGATATGTCGAGGAATATATGACCTAGCTGTCCCTAATTTAGAAGAGAAAGACTAGGGGGGAAGGCAGCTAGTCAATATCACACACTGCTGATGTTTAAGCTACTGTTTACCAATGAATAGTTTATTGACTATTAAATTATAATGCCTCCACGGCTGAAAGGACAAACATGTTTGACAGGTTTCGAACCTGCGACTGTCAAATTGAGAGATAAGTGTTCTAATCATCAGCCATGCTAGGCTAACAGGAAAAAAGAAATAATTCAGCAATAAAGAACTAAATAGCACACACACATATACACACACCAGTTGTCACTAAGTATAGGATTAAAAGTTAAAGTCAAGGAATGTAAACGTTTGATCAATTCTTGTACATCTATAGTCATTGGCACTTCCAACCAACTAAATATGTCAAAAATATAGTCTTTCGAACATGTTGGTCTTTTAAATTATTTTGGATATATTATTACGCTCGAGAAGATCACTACTCTTATATAATATATGTATGTAAAAGGGCTATACACGAAAAAAAAACAAAGCTAAGCTTTTATCATTTTGTTCCGATCGCTAAACAATTTTTTGGGAATTAGAAGCCTTAACGGCTTCTACAGTTCACAGAAACAGAAGAAAGAACGTTCGTGAATTTCTATGTCAGTAGCCTGTGACTTCTCTGAGCTGTGATACAGGTAATTTTATCACACAAAGACAACCAAAGATGAGAAAAAGTGATTGGCTCAAAATCCTAAAGTAACCATTAGTAACCAATAGGCCTAAAAATTGTGATAGAAATCATTTAAACTGCAGATGGCTTGAATTCGAAATGGACAAAGAGGAATACGAAGAAAGCAAATATGCAGTTAATGTGATCTCTATACGCTTGTATCCAAGTTACAATGACAAGTTAGTGCTATTTTTGTCAAAACTGCCATGACTTCCATTCTGAAAGCTACCAGAGCTAGATTGTAGTACTCAGAAAAAATTTCATAACTTCTCAAACATTAATGATTCCTATGAGAGCACGCTGAAATCGCCCTAATATCAAAATTTGCGATTTATAAAAAATATGTAAAATTAATTAAATAAAACTTTTTTTATTGAATATATTTCAGTAAAGTGTTTTATAATGTGCAGAAAAACCACTATAAGTTTATTTTCTATATCTTTTATAGTTCAAAGACGCAATTTTGCTCTCGAGGCTGACTGCACCCAACTGGACGTGAGAGGTACTTTTCAACAACTAAATGCAATATATTAAAATGTAATAATATATATATATATATATATATATATACACACACATATATATATCAAATTATTATTTATGTGTTGTAGATATTGTTTTGATATTTTATATATATTTTTTGGATTTGGCTTACCTCACTTGTCATTAAGGTAGTAGCCATTTTAACCCATATTTTACACCTAACTATGGTGTCGAATGAGCATAAGCTTAAGTGTTGTCACATTTTTTTTTAAATATTGTAAAATGGTAACGTGTAAAATCGGTAAAGTAAACAAGAAATATATCACTGGAAAAGTTTTTTGGGCTGATTGCTGGGAAAAATCCACTGTTGATTGAGAGTTACAGATATTTCGTGGAGTTGTGTTTCAAAAATTTTATTTTCAGTTTAAAATAGACTAGACCACCCGTGACCCGTTGGGTCACTCACTATTCATAGATTATGAAGAATTCAAGCTAATT